ATGTCAATAACCGTATTATGCAATTTCAATTTCTTCTATTTCTTTCTTTATTATGCACCCCATACCCATCCCGTGGGCGGTGGTGTAAAGGATTACAGAGGCACATAATCGGTTCAGGAACTGAACCCTCTAGTTCGGTTAGCTAAGCAAGTAACAGTGTTTGACGCTAGTTACAAAATTATTAATGTTGTATACACATGTACACACACTCATACATACATGTATGTACGACGACTGGATCACTGTGTACAGGAGGCTGTTATGGCAGCAAACACTCTCCAGGCGATCATATATCTTGGATAAGTCGCTCCACATAATTGTCGCTTGGACCGTCGACTTCCTATGGCGTCACCTCTCACATATTTACGTCTCATTTCGTTATGAAATTTAGATTATTTCAGAGTAAAAATAGGTTTGATCATGTTCTACGTGTAGCACCAACATTATAGTAAGTAAATATACCATATTTCTTCATTACTTACGTAATGCTAGGACGATTTGTGTAGTTTTGGGCCGATTTGGGTAATTCTATGGACCCCCATTTGGTGGTGTATAAAACTGGGATTGTGTACCCTGATCTACTGACTTAGATTCCAAGCATGTACTACTGTGAAAGTAAATTTTCTTATATTTCTTCGGCAGCTTTGTTTAGTTAGTTTAAACCTACGGCCTCTTGTTCTTGAAGGTCCAGATACCAAGAATTTTTTCCAATCAATTTTATCAATTCCCGTTACTATTTTGTACGTAGTGATTGTATTGCCTCTTTTTCAATCTTCTAGTTTTGGCATATTTAATGTCTCTAAATTGTCCCTGTAGCTCTTGTTCTTCACTTCTGGGAGCCATTTAGTTGGATGTCTGCACCTTTTCTAGTTTGTTGATGTGCTTCTTAAGATATGGGACTATGGAACTGCTGCATATTTCAGTTTTGGTCTCACAAAGGTCTTGAACATTTTCTTTAGTATTTCACTATACATGTGAAAATTGAAAAAGCAATTCTGAAATTGGAAAGTGAAGCATAGGCTCCTTGCATGAAGTTCATTATGTGGTCCTCAGGTGATAGATTTCTATCTAGAACCACCCTTAGCTCTCTTTATCGGAATTTGTTAAAGATTTTCACATAATTTGTAGGCTGTGTGGGGTCTATATTTTCCTATTCCACATTCCATAACATGGCATTTATTTACATTAAACTCCATTTGCGAAGTGGTGCTCCAAACACTTACTTTGTCCAGGTCTTCTTGAAGTGCATGACAATCGTCTAAGTTTATTATCTTCCCTAGTATTGTAGCATCATCAGAAAATATGTTCATGTAATTCTGTATTCCATCTGGTAGATCATTTATGTAGACAATGAACATTACCAATGCAATAACTGAACCCTGTAGTACTCCACTCCTAACATTTCTCCGGTCTGATACATTGCCTCTTATTACTGCCCTCATTTTTGTTAAAAAAAATTTAATCCATGTTAGAAGCCTCCTCCCCGTCACTCCTCCAGTATGTTCCAGTTTCCTGAACAACCTCTTGTGTGGAACTCTGTTAAACGTCTTTTTTTTAGGTCCAGATAGATGCAGTAAACCCAACCATCTCTTTCCTGTAAAATCTCTAAGGCTCTACAGTATATCATAGAAACTGAGTAAATTCGTTACACAGGATCTTCCAGATCGAAACCATACTGTCTGTTGTTATATAATTTTTCTCCAGGTGTTCTACCCATTTAGTTTTAATTATTTTTTCTAATATTTTGACTATTATACTTGTCAATGATATGGCCAAACCTTAGCAGGAGGAAAGTCAAGGAAATAGGTCACATTTGTATTACCCAAGGGGTGATGGTGCTGCTTCTGTGATGATAGGCAGTAAGATATGGTGAATGGATTGGGTGACAATACTTTTAATTATAACAGGGTACTAGAGTAGCAGTAGAAAGAAGTCAATGCTAGAAAGTCATTCCTGCAATAGTTGGAAGAGGTCACCATTAAGTCCAATGATAACTTGAGTAGCTGTGTCAAAATTACACACTGCTAAACAACTAAGGACAGAGTGAAATCTAACTCCATATTACTAGAGTAATATCAATACCAGTCACCACGTGTGTGGACTCGGGAACAAATGTGCTCTAGTCTTTTCTTCAGAGGCACATTATGCTGGCCTTGATTACTGTCAGTACATGCCATATGCAGGGGATGAGGATGGTTTAGTGCAGCAATTTCCAACCCTTTTTTTGAATTCTCAACTCAATACTTTTAATACTCAAACCACCTCTGACCCTCTGCAAAGTTCATAATTTTTTTTTTAATAATCATGATAGATGGATGATTCAAGTGTACTCAGAATTTATGTTCTGTAACCCCCCCCCTCCCCAGTAAACATTTTGCCACCCCTCTTGGGGGTTGCAACTCACTAGTTGGAACCTGTGATTTAGTGGATCCATCTGTACAGTAAAATACTGAGTGCTCGTGTTTATGCTCAGTGTGAGACATCCAAGTGAACTCACTGGGTAACATTTAGACATATTCTATTTGGAGGTATCAAGAGATTGGCGAAGAGTTTCATTTCATCCTTTACCTTGGTAACTCCTGTGTATTCCCAAATTACTAGTGTTGAGAAGTGCCATGTAGAACATTAAATTAAGCCTAGGAGTCATTCTTACTAGAGCAGACTAGTTCTGTGTGAACTCCCATAGTCATCCAGTATGTCCCTCTGATTTCCTAGCTTTTCTTAGATAATTAATATGTTGTAGGTTAAATTTAAGATAGCTACAGTGAGCTGTCCATAATAGCATGGATAGGGATTGCACATCCAATGTTTAATATCAATATACATATTGGATGCAGAGACCATCAGGAAAAAAGTATATTACAATATATTGCACTGTCTAGTTCAGGATATTTAAAACACTCATATAAGAACACATATATTTGTATGAATTTAACTCACACCATGGTATAAACGACTGCTACACTGGCAAAAGCGATGCTAGTGGATGGAAGTCCGAGGCTGCTATTGATTTGGTGGTGAAGCAGTTTTGATTGGCTGGGCATTAGCATTTCTGTCCCAAATGACTGGGTAAAATTGTTTTGATTGGCTAGGTATTCGCACTCTTATTCTATATTGGCTGGTCACATATCTATGGCACAAATGTCACAGCCTGCACAAACTAGGTTCATCTAGTTCAGGCACTGAAGTTCAACATATGACCTCGTTTCAAAAAAAAAAATTAAATCCACATAAAAAAAAAATCTTCCCTGGCCAGCCAAATCAAATAATTTGCATCAGGAAGCATTCAAGCGAATAAGCTTAGACCCTACAGTAAAAGAAAAAAAAATCAATATGAAAGATGGGAAGGCATTTCATCATATTAGATGTACTTCATACCAAATAGCTAATGTACTGTCAGTGCTTAAACTGGATTTCACAGATAACTGTACATATGCCTAAACATTTATGCTCCAATGACAAAACACAAAGTACAGTATAAAGGGCATGATTTTGCATGTTGTCTGTAAAACCCAGCTTTGTAAGAAACATTTGATTATGTTCCACGATAATCAACCGTTTTCCACACTGCCAAGCCCTCACTAATGATACTGAAGACATTAAATACACAAAAGAATATAAATTAAAAGATCTTAGAAAGATATATAAAAAAATGGAAACTGTATGTACAAGATTATTTAGCCATGTCAGAATAAAAATGATCAGTGCTAAGTACATTTAAAATAATTGGCTTTTCTTGTGAATCAATATCTTTAGATCAATTCCAAGTATCAAATTCCTGAACCATAACAGTGGGCATAAACACTTATCACAAATGACCAATAAAGATTTATACACCAGGGCAAGTGGACATATCTATAGATGTCTTACTTGTCGCCTTCAGCTGACTGGGTGAAATCAATAGATGACATAATTCATCATCTACTGAAAACACAAGGTTGCCTAATAATGACTACGCTATCACCACTTCTTAAATTACTAACCAACTCTTCAACCTGAGTCCATCAATTAAGAGTAAAATATATTCAATAATACATTATATTAATCTCTCAATTAAACATTAATATAACATTTTTATTTCTTAAGGTCATGATAAATTCTTATAGCACCTACTCATTAGTTCTGCAACAGCTTTCAGAATCACCAACACCAAAGTGTGTCCAGACAATAGCACCGGGTGATGTCCATAGTTGGGAAGTTAAGTATAGTCTGGGTATAGATGAGTTACTACAGTAAGCATCTCGCCGACTATATACACAGTAAGAGACAACACTGCATCCCTAACCTGGGCAAAGAATTATGTAAAAATAAGACGAAGTTTTTAAATTTTCTTCATCTCTAATTAAAACGGCGGGCACTTACATAAGGAACTTTTATAACCATTACATCACCATTAAAATATTTAATAGTATTTAACTTGATAAAAATCAACAACTTTACCATATATTTATAAGCCACAAACTGATTAAAACATTATGACCATTTTCAGAGCCTCACTAAACTAATCAAGATGCAACTGTAAGCTGAATATTATACTGGTAATATATATATATATATATACTGCACTGTGTGTGTGTGTGTGTGTGTGTGTATATGTACATATACACTAATTATATATATATATATATATATATATATATATATATATATATATATATATATGTCGTACCTAATAGCCAGAACGCACTTCTCAGCCTACTATACAAGGCCCGATTTGCCTAATAAGCCAAGTTTTCATGAATTAATGTTTTTTCGTCTACCTAACCTACCTAACCTAACCTAACCTAGCTTTTTTGGCTACCTAACCTAACCTTACCTATAAATATAGGTTAGGTTAGGTTAGGTAGGGTTGGTTAGGTTCGGTCATATATCTACGTTAATTTTAACTCCAATAAAATAAAATTGACCTCATACATAGAGAAAAGGGTTGCTTTATCATTTCTTAAGAAAAAAATTATAGTAAATATATTAATTCAGGAAAACTTGGCTTACTAGGCAAATCTGGCCTTGAATAGTAGGCTGAGAAGTGAGTTCTGGCTACTAGGTACGACATATATATATATATATAATGTGTGTGTGTGTAATACACATACATATATATACATATACACACACACACACACTTTCATTCACATGTGAATAATCAGACACTTTGTATAGTTTTTGGAGTCACATTTGGTTAAAATAATTATCACGAATTTCTGATCCTTAGGAAGACGGGAAACTCCATTTGGAGTTGCGAGCATGATATGCGGACTTAGAATGGTGGCGGCCCATTAGGGTATCGCAGCATTGGGTCAAAACTGCGAGCAAAATTATTGGCCATGCTGCAGGCATAGTCATCTTCAGAAGTTGGGACTAGTGAGGCCACTCCTAGCATGAGCAGCATTAGGGCCTGAATAGGTAGGGCAGCACGCATCACTCTCCCAAGGAACCTGTATGAGCGTTGCACAACGCCCTCATTGCTGCCCTCAGCACCTAGACCATCACTGTTTGAATGAAACAAAGTAAGAAATTTAGGATGGTGCTGAAAAATTAAGTAATATGATATCAAGTTATATATTGTATTGATTTATAAATATCAAAATTATGCTAGAAATATTTTATTCTCACTGTATATAAACTAAGAACTAATTGAAATACAAAAGCAAATACAATACAGCTAATGGACAAAATAAATTAAATATAATAATGCTCAATAAAAATATCTACAAATAAATATCACTTGACATAATTCTACTTTGTGTAATACAACATTTTGTGACAGAAGGTGCTTGGCAGGTTCCAGTGGCCAATTTTTACGTACTGAGCATCAGAATGGAAGCTCGCTGTCAGGGAGCTGGGTGAGGTTGGCCGCGAGAAAGAGAACTCGGCAGACTCGTACAGCTGGAAAAGAGAGTGCCCTTCATGTGCTACGTGCATTGGTGCATATCCTATTTTTCTCATGCAGGTCTGCAAAATCATATGAATAAATATACTATATGCCAAAATTATTTGTTGAGTAAGCTTTTAAGTACTTACCCCTGAAGATGCTAGTGATGCCAAAGAACTTGTGAAGTCTTGACCAAGCAACTGAGACAGCTGAGTCAGATGTTGAGAACACATCTGAAGTAGCAACTGAAGACGACGAGAGAGAAGTGCAAGGCGCTCACGTACAGCAGCACACTGGTCATCCTGTTGTGTGGGAAGAAGATGCTGTGCTGCTTCATGCAGAGATGCTACACGTGGTTCACACCGTTCAACTTCTGCACGTACATCCAGAACACGACCTACGCGATCACGCAGAGCTGGCTCTTCCATGTCCTCTTCAGCTGCTATCTTCAAAAGATTCTCCTCTGTTGTATCTGTCCATGCAAGCAGGTCAGAAATAGTAGTATGGAATTCTGCATTACCCATTAGGGTGGTTTGCAACTTTGCCTGCCATACAGAAGCTGCCGCACACACTGCTTCCCAGCGTTGGTTGGCAGCAGTGAGACGATCTCTTACTCGTGTGGCCCGTCTCTCATCACGTGTATGTTCAGCTAAATGCTTGCCAATGATGTTGAGTGACATTATCACTGACTTGTGGCCATCAAGATCCATCAGGAACTCCTATCACAAATGTAAGGTAATGTTCATATCAATGGAAATACATGGAAACCTTGCTAGATAGTATAAAATAATTGGCAGTTATATAACAAAAGTGGCAAGCAATAAGTCATACCCCTATACTAACCCTGTGATCTTGAGCAACTTCCTCCAACTGTTCCATTGGCGTAGGTGGACTATGCTGAGTTGACTGGGTAGCTTCGGCATGAGTTAACCACTGCTCCAGCCGCCACATATCATTTTCAAACTGTTGCCAATTGCGTCTGCAACACAGCGGGCACGTCAAGGAAGACGTCTCGCTGCAAGCAAACATGCACATGCATAGTAAGCCAATTCTACAGCTAGGTCTGCATTACCAACCAGAAACTAAATAAAATTCCCAAAACATTGGTAGCTAAGAATGGAAACACTCCACACTATTCTGTCACAGGCTTAAGTCTATGATATGTACAGTGTACACATTTTTAACTACAGGACATACATGGTTTTGCTTTATTTAAAAGAGAATGTCTGTTTGTCCAAAGTTGGCAGCCAGATGTTTGGGGCTAGCTTCATCCAACTTTGCAGAAAGGGGGAGGGAGGGAATGGTCTGTAGCGAGGTCTACTCGCTCCATTATCTCATTATCTTAATGGCATAACTAATTAGCACTAACTACACAAGCTATAATCCTATCCCTAATTACAGGTAACAGTTCTCACATCTTCATATCCTAGTAGAGAAAGGTGAGGGGGTATAGTTACCAAATATAAGGAAGCGATATGAGAAGAGACAAGAGTACAATTTCCAGTCAAGAATGTAGCACTCGGCGTAGGCAGTTCTAATCGTCTCCAAGACGCTACAGCTTCGACACAGAACAGGCAGCAGACTAGAATCGCATCGAGCTACAACTCTCTCCCACATAAAGCTCCACGATTGCGGCCACACTCAGCTCTCTGCTCTGCTCCAAGCTCCACCTGATTCTACGACACTGCTGTATCCAGGACTACTAAATTAACATGAAACTCACTAAATACTGTGTATCTAATCTACCCAACTACGTAACATAATCGTACGTTACAGGTCTGGAGTACGGGATGAACAAAAGCCGGTCAGGGTTACCAGAATTCAAGATAGAGCAACAATTGATTCAATGATAAAGATTAAGCCACCCAAGAGGTGGCATGGGCATGAATAGTCCGTAACTATATAGAGCAACGTGCCAAGGTCCACATTTTAACCCCATGATGTTTTTTGGCATTGCTTACCAGCTACACCTAGCTAAATATTTTGAAAATAAATATCTCAAACTATTCTTATTGTAATATACACCATTATTCACTGATCTCAAGAAAATTATAAGAAATATTTGCTATTAATACTTTGGCTGCAGTATCATAAAACAGACAATTTTCCCCCAACTTCAAAGGCTTTTTCAAGCCTTGCCCCTTTCTTAAAGAAAATGGGTAATTATTCTACTTGTGACTATTTCACACTATTTGGCTTCTCCCACTAGTGGACCACCAATGATAGGCTATTTTTTTTTTTTTTTTTTTAAAGAGACGTCATCTTGCAGAGACTGGATGAGATATAAATTTCTGAATTCTGTAAATAGGTTTTGATGTCTCGTTTCTGCTGTATTCTACAAGGCATTATCTCACAACTAACCACACAATTTTAAAGCAGCTTTCTTAAATGCTAATTAGGCATTTTACTATAAATCCTTTCAGATCTACAAAGCCATTAACTATTAAAATACATTACTCTATATATAAAAATAGACTTGACACTGACACACGACTAAAACACAGCAGCTTTTAAATGCTTGGTATGTTTTTCATCAAATTAAACACTATATGAAATTTCCAAATACAGTATTTATATGTCATTAACACCAAACTTATTAATTTTATCTTAATTCTAGAAATTTATTTGATGTTTATAACTAGGAACATAGGATTTTTTTTTAGGCCTAATACAAACACTTCAAGACAAAATGAAAGCACACACAAAACTATAACATCATTTGAAAATTATATATACAATATATAAACATCACATTGACTGCTCTTAATTTTCTTAATTTAATAATTATCACTTTCGCGCTCCCGGCATGCGTGCCGCAAACTTAAGACGTTGTGCCCAGGGCGAGCACACGGCGACACCAAAATGTGTATACTCGTTTCAGTTTTCTCACCTTATTAATTCCAGTGCTACGTCGTTCGTTTTGGTATCATTGTGTTCGCAATAGAATTCCCTACAGGTGTATATGCATATAATGTTCAAAAGCCCAGCGTGACTCCCCACAGCAAAGCCTAAAGTTACCCATGAACGAGCACCAATTTGCACACTGCGGCCTAATGTGTATACTTGTTCAGTTTGATAACATCAACTTTCGTCTTACGTCTTTCATTTTGGTATCAAATTGTTCGCAATATAAAGGCGCGTATTTTAAAACTCGTCCCATAATAATAGAGGAATAATTGGAATTTTAATAAATATTTTAATTTTGGACACTCATCATCATAAAATTATTTATATCTTTCCAGTGTTCCGACATAAATTTTCATGTTACATCTTTCATTTTGGTATCAAATTGTTAGCAATCAAAAGGCGTGCATTTTAAAACTAGTCCCATAATAATAGCACAATAAATAGAATGTTAACAAATATTTTAAAATTTTGCCCAAAAATGTATTTATAATCTTTCAAGTGTTCTGACTTCAAAGTTTCGTGTTACATCTTTCATTTTGGTATCAAGTTGTGGGCAATTTAAAGGCGCTCATTTTGAAACTATCCCAAAGTCGATCGAATAAAAAATGAACTTTATACAAATATTTTATTGTTGGACTCGTATACAAGTCACAAGTGATGACTCAAGAGAAAAATTAGTAACTTGTTTTCGTGCCACGAGAGTGCGAAAGTGTTTTAACATCGTGCCACGAGTGCGAAAGTGTTTTAACAATGAAAACAATATATATATATATATATATATATATATATATATATATATATATATATATGTCGTACCTAGTAGCCAGAACTCTCTTCTCAGCCTACTATGCAAGGCCCGATTTGCCTAATAAGCCAAGTTTTCAGGAATTAATTGTTTTTCGACAACCTAACCTACCTAACCTAACCTAACCTAACTTTTTCGGCTACCTAACCAAACCTAACCTATAAAGATAGGTTAGGTTAGGTTAGGTAGGGTTGGATAGGTTCGGTCATATATCTACGTTAATTTTAATTCCAATAAAAAAAAATTGACCTCATACATAATGAAATGGGTAGTTTTATCATTTCATAAGAAAAAAATTAGAGAAAATATAATAATTCAGGAAAAATTGGCTTATTAGGCAAATCGGGCCTTGCATAGTAGTCCAAAAAGTGCGTTCTGGCTATTAGGTACGACATATATATATATATATATTAAACTAAATAAGAAAATGTATATTTTTGTGACAAAAGTATGTTACCTGTTCTCTTTGAGCCTCTGTTGCTTTGCTTGTGAAAGGCCCTCCAATTGTTTAAATTCTTCTATAACAACATCTATTTCAGGGTGAAGATCTCTTGCTTCACTGTCATCACCAGTATGCCGCACCAAGGAGCTCAAAAGGTCTACAGATGACCGACATCCTGCTAGTTGCTTCGACTACGTACAATGAAGAGAATATTAGAAAAGTAAATATTATCACTTTAGAAATATGAAAAAGTAAATATTATCACTTTAGAAATATGAAAAAGTAAATATTATCACTTTAGAATATGAAAAAGTAAAACTATCTTTCTGTTCAAACTATGCTATAGCTGAACAAATTTTACATTTGAACTTTTGCTTATATATATTTATATACTGTACATGTAATTATGTTTTAATACAAGCATATATTAGGTAAGATACTTCTGTACTTACAAAGGAATAGTACATCTTGTCAACTTCAGCCCCTTGTGGTGTGGGGCATTTCAGCGCTTCTTCTAATTGTGCAAGAAGTCTCTTGCTTTCATCGAGTGCAACACGCATCTCTACAGCCAAGGACCTCCCACCCACTGCACCAATGAGTGACATATCTGTTGAACTGAAGGTTGGTTCTAAGTTGAGTAGCTCTGCATCTGACATCAGAGGGACTTTGTAGTCATCATCTTCCTGATCTTGAAGTGATCTTTCTTCAGAAAGTCTTAGTGTCCTGTGAGTAGTCTCTAAAATCTGTGTGGTTGTAGTTATTGTTGTGATTTGAGTTATTTCAATCTCAATAGCTTCTTGTAAGGCCAAAAGGTGAGAGTGAATGTGTTTCCTCGCTATCCAATACTCTGTAAGACTTTCTTCTATGAGGATACAATCAGAATTGCAGCTTCTCTTAAAAAGGTAAATAATCATATCATCAAAGCTCTTTAATTGTGCCTCGTGTTTTTCATATTCAGCAACAAGTTCTAAAAGAGCCCTCTTTTTGTATTCCAGATCTCCTTGTGACTGATGTTCATATTCAGATACTTTAAGATCAAAATCATTGAGCCAAGACATTAACTGTTCTCTTGTATTTTCAAATTCTTCATATAATCTTCTACTATACATCAGACGCCTTAAAATTACAGTAACATGATAGCTAAGGATGTGGAATCGTGCATTGGAAGTCTTAACCATTGTTCTGATTTCATTAGCTTGATCCAATCTATTTTCTCTTCCATAAGGTCTTGCCAGCACTCTGTAGTTTTGGTTAAGATTTTCATATTGAAGTGTTTGGTCATGAATCAAAGGTTGCAGCTCGTGGACCATGGAGATTCTCTCCTCAATTTTGTTGTATGGTACAAGTGTCGACGAGGCAGATATCTCGCTTACTTTTGACTCCATCATGGTTAACCAGGTTTCAAAAGAAGTGTTCACTGCAATGAGGTCCTGCCACATTTTCCATGTCTTCTTGATGAATACTTTTCTTTCAGCAGAGCGAGTACAAATCTCCCCCCATCGGCGCTCAAGATTATGATGTGCCTCCTGCAGAGAGTCTGTGTCACCATTTGCATCAAATTCTGTACAGTCACGAATTACCATATCACAAAGGTTTAAGACAGAAGAAATGGTTCCACTCTGCTTTTCAATCTCCTTTCGTATCTCTTCTTCAGCTTCTAAGAGATGATCTATTTGTTTCTTGGAACTATTCTGGAAGACCACAGGACTTGACAGCTTTTTCTCAATTAAGAAAAGCCATTCCTTCAGTTCTGCTAATGTAACCTCAGCCTTGTTAATGGTGGTAACAATGTCCTGAAGCTTTTGTTTTCTACTACTACATTTATCATGAATATGCTTCCAAGTTGTTTCAATTTTGTCTACTTTCTCTTTCAAGTCAGCAGCCTGATCTTCATTACTACAGGATATTAATTCTTCACCCTCAGATATAAGCCAAAGTTTTTCTATGCTCTTAGTCTTTATATCTTCTTGATAGTCATGCTCAAGTTTTCTAATTAGAGTGTCAATGTACTGTTCTGAGCCGCCATCAATTTTAGCTTCCATATCCTTAGCCCAGGAAAGGAACTGCTGATATCTAGTATCATACAATTGCCATAACTCTAATCTATCCTCCAAGGTACTAATTCTGAGTCTGTACTGATGGAGCAGCTCGGCTTGTAACTGTGTGACCCGCCACATTCGTTGGGTAACTAGTCGAAGATCAGCAGGAGTTAGTGAATCAATCATCTCTTCCCGAGTGGTTCTTAACAATGACAAATCTCCAGTTAAGGCTTCCAAAGACGCAGTAATTCTATGGTATTTCGTGATGGTTTCTTGCACACTGCTGAAATCTGAAGGAAGATCAGCAGACAATCCAGCCTGCAAATCACTTAACACAGTATGGAGTTTATTGTATACTTCTTCATAGCGTCGCCATAGTTTAGAGCTTTTGTTAAGGTAACTGAGCCAAGTTTCTACACCAGCACGCATATTTGTCACACGCTGCTGCAGAGATGCTAGTTCTGCCTTTATGATGGAGTGTATACTTGGATCACATGATGACATTAATTTTTGGCAAAGTTTTGCAACACCTTCTACTTGTTCTTCTCCACGACATAATTGTTCTAGCAAGGACTGCAGTCTACTGATAACTTTATCAAGTCGCCTACGAGCAACTTGCCTCAACTGGAGGCCTTGTTTCTCTTGTTCTAGCGCCAATATCCAAGTTTGCAACTGAGCCACCTTGACTCGATACGTTTCCCAAGTGGCAATAGTTTGGAGTAAAATTTGCTCTCGTTCACTGACTGTAGTAAGAACAGTTTTGTGCCGCAGAATAAGTTCACGTAAACGACCTTGTAGGTCTTTGATTCGTGGAGGTGCATCCTCTTGTTGTGCTTGCTCTTGCATTGTTGACAGGACATTGGTCTGTGTGGTTAGGATGGAACGGTGAACCTGGCACAGGCGGGAGGCTTCGTGGAGACCCTCACGTGAGGCAGGGGCTGGTGCATTCATTTCTGCCTCCACACTTTCCACGTATTGCTTCCAAGTGATCAGAGCAGCTGCAAGTTGTTCATCATCACCACCAAGACCCGCCACCACTTGTTCATAACGAGAGTGTGTATCACGAACTGCAATCTGCCAAGCTTCTACCACCTGTGTTGGGCCACTCTCAATAATGGGTCCACCAGAGCTACCCAAAGTCACCAATTGATCTTGCAGTTGGACAGCTCGCTCTGCCGCCTGCTCTAGCCCAGGTTCAGGCAATGCTAGAAGAGTTTTTGCACCATTGATGCCAGCTTGTAGCTCATGTAGAGCAGCCTCCTCTTGTTGTTGGTTTTCAGCATCCACTTGTAGTGCCAAGCTGCTGCTGAGCTGAGTAATAGCTTCTGTCAAATTAGTGATTCTAAATCCTAGCCGCTCAACCTCGGCGACGAGGGGTGTATCCTGTGCAGAGTCTTCTGCAACATGTAATTGGATTTGGCGAGCCAACTGCCTCAACTCCGACACCCGCTCTCCAGACCACGCTGCCTCTCCAACTAGCACCTGGAACACCAAGAAGAATACAATATGACTATCTTAATTATTCAACTCATCAATGGCTTTAAATTTATCTTCGAGAAGTAAAAACATAAGACTGTTAGGCTTATCATTATAGTCCTAGCAATGGGCAAGATTTTCATGCTAGTTATATTATTACTGTGCTACATTCTTACGAATGCAACAAGTATTCACCAACTAATCTACCCTGCCTTAGCTTCGTTAGAAACAAAATATAAGGGGTAAAGGATAGCACTATCTTTTATGCATATAAAGGACAAGTGTGATGGCAACAAACGGTTTAAAAATTGTAATGTGTCCGAAATATGTTTACAGAGGCGCCTGGTCAAGGCGCTTCATCGTGAGTATTCTGCAGGTGGAGCAGAGGAGGAGGTAGAATCAATGGCGCCTGACGAGTAGTGGTACAGTAGGAGCCTTGCTTCGGTGACGGCGATGTACTTGTACTTACGGAGCATAATGGACTGTTTTATCTGAACAAAAAACCAAAGGACCGCATGTGTGGCCATCACTACAATGCATCGAACTGGTAGGGTTGTGTAAGTGGATTTAATATAGCCGGTTTGGTCCCTTCTTTTGATAATTACTTAATAAAGCTAGACTCCTCACAAAGAAAGAGAAAATTGCATTTCTGTAAGCCAAAGCACCATCTCCAAACTTCCAATATGTATTATACTGGCGTATTTTTCATGACTAACCATCATTAAGGAAATGTATATGTTTATCTCTCAGAATGTTTGGTAATATGTTTATTGTTTGTGATGTGTGTATATGTATGTATTAAGACGATGTACTGAACGGGGTGAGAATAGCTTGAGCTACCTCATCCCTTTGTGTGTATTTTGCCTTAATAAACTTATTTCAATTTCAATTTCAAAACCATCATTACTAAGCCCGCTGTATAATTAACTGATTATTTAGCCCATTTTATAACTTTAATTTCTTGATGCCTAACCAAACCGATTGCATCGACTTATAGTATAGATAAGAACCTACACATTATTACCTTAAATTGTAATGTGTGCAACACCTGTATCATCACATTGGTTGGTAACTGCCTATGCAATCTATCCCATCTCTGTTAAATAATAACAATGAACCTTTAACAAAATCACTTTACTGCATATTCAGGTCAAAACAAGGTTGTTTACCTCCTACTGCACAATTAAATGTGCTCAATAACCACTGCAGCTCGTGTAATGTGACTTAGTTTGTTCTTTGTCTCATAGCGTGAGCCATTACCCTAAGTACCTTATGGTAGAACACGCATGGCTAGTTGGGCTTACAGAATGTCAAATCTGAGACATGCAAACACCAATTCTGTTAACTCTGGAAACCAGTTTTATTTTAGCTTTTTCGTGTTAGCCAATGAAATATCGAGACTCGGTCACGATGGACAAGTTGAAGTGCTATGTTTACCTTTTGTTGTTGTCAGTGTAATCGCGGTCTAGGTGCATGGAGACTAGCTCCTGAGCCACGACCAAGTCGAGCCAAAGTTTCCGTTACAGACATCACCACAAAGACCACAAGATAACTGTTTATAGTGATGTGAAAGCTCCAGACAGGATGCCTCCAGCACCACTTCTCGCAAGTTTACCTTCACCCTTTGTTATTCCCATTCCACTTCACGGAGCTCTTTAATTTGATTTCTTGAATTTCTTCTAATACAAACACCCTTGGCATAAAAATAAACAAAATATGACCTTAGCCAATACAACATAACATCATGTTGCAATATGGTTTAAAACCACACTTTTCTCGTTACGAAGAAATAAAACAAGTTATGGAAGCCGGAGAAACATTAACAGCTTCATCAACTTCGAAATATGATAAAATTAAATGATTTTGTGCAAACAGAGAAGACAGAAACAGCGAATAATAAACAGTGTACAGCATCAAAGTGGAAGTCTCAAAAGAACAAAATAGCGGTAAAGGTATATGCTGGAAAAGTCTACAGTTTGGGCCTTGGCACTATGCACTAATGTATACTTTATCTGTACACACACACACAATCATGTGCCACAGGTTAGGGGAGCCGGTGGCCGAGCGGACAGCACGCTGGACACGTGATCCTGTGGTCCCTGGTTCGATCCCGGGCGCCGACGAGAAACGATGGGAAGATTTCTTTCACCCTATGCCCTTGTTACCTAGCAGTAAATAGGTACCTAGGAGTTAGTCGGCTGTCACGGGCTGCTTCCTGGTGTGCGTGTTTGTGTGTGTGTGTGTGTTACAGTGTAAGTTCTTACATCTGGCAGCTTTCTCAAAACCCAAATGTCGAGTACACAATGTGTCAACTTTGTGAAAGAGAAAACATGCACTCTCTTGAACATTATATTGTAGAATGTCTCATATTGACTGACTTTCGCCCTCCTGGGCTAAGGTATGCTGAACCCTGTAATTACTATATGAGTACTGGAACACTTGATGATATATTAGATTTGTACCCAAGATTGACCATGTAATGTATCATTTATATATCAACTATACATACGATATATGTATGTGATGTAAGTATATAACCTGAGCTTGTAAAAGCATCTTAATCACCTTCAGTGGTTAAGTGCTTAATAACACACTAGTTTCTCTATCAGCTATCTTACTCTCTCACAGTAGGAGAGCCATAAATGTATGTGTATGTATGTGTACATATGTATATGTGTGCGTATGTATATGTGTATAAAGTATATGTGGAAGCTGATAAGAATTACATTTCACCTTTGTAAATGCACATTAATGACACTATGTAATGAACACATCGACCACTTTATGTAGGGCAGACCTAACTCTGTGTGTGGATTTATGTCTGTAGGTTAGATTAGCATTTTAAAAGCACTACAATCACTTTCTGTGGTTGACTGTATTTGTGTGGGTGATTAAATATGTATGTGTATTATGTATACGTATATATATGTACATGTATGTATGAGTATGTGTACATGTATACATAACATTAATAATTTTGTAATTAGCGTCAAAAGATTGTTATTTCCTTAGCTAAACGAACTAGAGGGGTTCAGTTCCTGAACCGATTATGTGCCTCTGTAAGCCTTTACTCCACCGCCCACGGGATGGGTATGGGGTGCATAATAAAGAAAGAAATTGAATTGTGGTTGATTGTTCAATAAATCCCTGAACTATTTTTGAGATATGATCTGTTAAACTATATGTTTAACAGATCTCTTACCCTGTTCATGGAGGACAGAAGAAAATGTATATACCTGTATGCTGGTTAGCATTGTAAATGTGTGGCCACGTTCGTGGTAGAAAATAATAATAATAACAATAATAAAACTTCCTCATGGAGGAGGAGGAGGCGCTAGCCACTGGATGGGTAGGAGTGAGAGAGGGGGGGAGGGGAGGGAGGGCGTGTTGGGGGAAGGGGGAGGCAGGAGAGGGAAGTGCCGTCACCACCACGAATACTTCCATCCTCCTCAACGCACGTATTACAATCCACTCAATCGTGACGCCTTTATCCATTTGCTGATTTACTTCTGTTAAATGTTATCACAAATTAAGTGTAATGTTAAAATGTCAGAACGTTACTACTATTTTCCCGGGTAGCCATAATCATCTCGCTGCATTTGCCTTAAATGCCATATCCAATTAAGGGTCACCACGTCAACCAGTGATGGTAATATACGGTGCGTACCGCTAGTCCACCAGCATCCCTGAGTTTGGTTATATGCCCTCGAGTATCACACTTTTTTGCTTTAGAGTTATTCCTGCACGGACCCTTAGCTTACGTAAGCTAGGGTGGTTGCCGGTAGATGAGTATCCATGACTTGAATGTTGATATTAGTAAAGTAATATCAACTTGAATGTTGATATTAGTAAAGTAATATCAACTTGAATGTTGATATTAGTAAAGTAATATCAACATTCAAAGTTCTATGAATTTTAAATCTTTGTTGTTAACACGCATGTGAAATTGTATTTAATTTGTATCTCGTCTTTGTTAGATAATTTTGAATGGTGTGTCCGGTATTTTCCACGATGCTAACATTTCCTTTCTTCTTGGGCATTCCAATCTCTGCTGTAAAAACAGCAATATTTCAGGACATTAGGGAAGACACAAGAGCAGCCACTGACACACAGGCCAGAAAGCACGAGTATAAAGTTCTATGACATGTTTAGACCCGAGAATTATATGTCCGGACAGCATAAGACATCCACTAAACAGTGACATTGTAATTGCCAGAATTAGGCTGGGATACTGATATCTATGGCAGGTGCTGGGATACTGATATCTATGGCAGGTGCTGGGATACTGATATCTATGGCAGGTGCTGGGATACTGATATCTATGGCAGGTGCTGGGATACTGATATCTATGGCAGGTGCTGGGATACTGATATCTATGGCAGGTGACTGCTGATAATGAGTCCCCCAATGGTCAACATTCAAGTTGTAAACTGTGTGAACAAGAGCTGGGACATACTCTCCAACACTATATCTGTGATTGCCCTCTTATATGTGACTTCAGACCAAATGGTATGAGATACTTTGAGCTGTGTAATTACTTCATACACTCAGGAATATTGGAAGATATTCTTGTGTTGTACCCAGATTTTGCTAGTGGAGGTTCAGATCAGCCTTACATTTTATGTTCTCTTCTGATTTTTAGTCAGAGTTGATTTGTTTTTGTATTGAGGCTGGTATTTGCTCCTGCACGTGCATCTCAAATATTCTACTGTGTCCTGTTCACAAAATAAGTGATTCACAATTGGTTGAAATCTTCTCTACCATCCTGCAGACCTTGATGTAGCTGCTGCTGCTTTATTGCTGGCGGAGTCAGGTAAAGGGCGTGGTGCTGACGGTAGCCCGAAGCAGAAAGCAGAAAACTTGAGCGAGGTCAGGGGGTAGAGCTGGAAGCTCTCTACCCCCTGGTAGACAGCAGAGAGCTCGGATATGGCCGGGAGTAGCTCTGTTCCGTGGCGAGGCTTGTGGGAGAGTAGGAACTTGACTCATAGAGCGTTACGTCGTATGAT